TACACACAATGATAAGTTCTTGTTTGTTGTTCTTGTTTGTCGAATTACAAAACAGAGCAACTGAAGCAGTTCTAAAACACACACACACACACACACAGTTGGTGTGTGATGATCTCGCTCGGGCAGTAGTTTTGCTCAAAATATACTATCAAAAATGAACAGACAAACAATACAAACAGAACTTATCATTGTGTGTAAACTATTAAAATACATTCCTATTATTATTATTATTAATCGGTTATCCATCATCTATTCCACAATGTAATGCTCAATAACAACAACAACAACACATTTTACTAACATTAACTACTCTGGGATAATTACTACTAGTACTACTACTACTACAAATACAGAAATACAAAATAATACTTCTTCATTGAAATGAAGCTAGCCTACTTACTACAGCTAATCTAACCTTAAATCTCATATAGGCATTTTATAGGTAGGTATTGACAGATAGGTATAGGAAGGGGTGGCGGTGTCAACTAACAATTAATTATACAGCTTATAAATAAATAATAGTTGTAGTAAAATGCTGCATGCTTGCTAATAAGTAATCCACACAGAAGAGAACAGAACATAACAGAACAGAACAGGGAAACTCACAGAATCCTTCTTTCAGGAAGAAGAGAAGACGGGAGTAAGACAAGACTGGCTGGCTGCCTGCCTGCCTACTATCTCCAATGATTGTTTTCCTGGTTGCAGTAGACTGGAAAATGCGACAGACAACACAGCGGCATGACGGGGCGAGGTAGGCCAGGCCAGGCCAGGCCGGGTCGGGTCGGGTCGGGTCGGGGAACGAGGAGACAGGCATCAAATGGACCCGAAATGGACCAAAAACAATTGGACGATCTGTATTTCGCCAATGATATATATATATTATAATTCCTCTCCGGTTCCGTCCGGTCCGGTGTGCTAATAACCAAGCGTTGGCAAGGTGTTGTTGTTGTGGTTGTTGTTAGTGTCTTCATTTGTATAAGATATGTAATTTTATAACAGCGTCTCCTTTTAAATGAAGAAATGGGGGAAATACAACAGAGGCGGTAATATATCATCCATCCCGTTGTTTTTCATGTTTTCAGTAAATTTTGGACTAGTTGTCGTATCATCCCATCCACCAAGGCGGCGGCGGCGGCGTTATGAATTCATTATTCATGCAGTTTACCAGAAAAGCATCTCCTGCCTGTCTCACAACTTGCTGTTGCTGTTGCTGCACCTCTTCGTCTTCTTCTTCTTCTTCAATATCCCCCACCACATTATCTGAGTTGATTTGCTCCTCTGCCTCATGACGGTGATGATGATGCGCTGGCTAATCTGTCCTAATCGCACGTCAACAACAACAACGAAAATACCGCCGGGCACGCAAGACAAATAAAGAAAGAAGACTGGACGTTGATACGAGAGCTTTTACTGTCTCTACAACAGTCGAAAATGTTAAACAAAACTCCGTATTTATACAGTTAGGAAAATCAATGCCACATTAAACAAAATATTAACAACAAATGAGAATTCAGTAAATTCAATCACACAGGTGTTAAAAATCAATATTCATGAGTTACCAGTGTATATATCAAGTATGTATTTCATTTCTAGACTACGTCTTTATGACCAGAAAAGAGGATGGCACAATAAGAAGAGGAACTGTATATAGAAAACCTACATCAACTGACTGTCAGTACCCTCATTCTCTCAGCTTCGTGTCCTTGAAGTACAAACGTAATCTGATAAAGTGCTTGGTCCACCACAGAGCCAGATCAATCTGTTCGGTTGAATGTCTTGTTGAGGAACTTAATAATATTAAACGGTTGGTGAGTGAAAATGGTTATCCAGAAAAATTTATTGATAAGAATCTGAATCTGAAATCAAAGCAGCTCAAGGAACACCAACAGTTCCAAGGCAAAGGAAGGCCTTATTCTTACAGATGCAGTTCCTTGGGGACAACATCAGCGAGATACTAACACAGCTGTACCTTAGAAATGCGAAGAGCATTCCCTGCTTCCGAATTACGCGGTGTCTACAAAACCACTCCTCTCTTGCATTTGGAAGTAATTTCGCCTCTTCCATGTGTATCTACCAATTGAACTGCTCCTGTGGAGTGAGCCAGTTACTTGCATAGGCCATACAATTAGGCGTGTTTCTCGTCGAATTTCCGAACATCACTCTGCACAGTGGTTGGTTGGTTAAGTAAAGGACAAACAAAATCCATCTATTCACAGCGCTATTCTATCTCACTCATCTTGTGGATACACAACACAAGACTGATTGATGTTAACAAGGTGGCTTTCAGGGTAATTTACCAAATACCAACAAATCTCAATTTCGCCTTAACAGTTCGATTACTAAATATTGCTGAGGCTGGGTGGTTGGCTGTTGGGATCCATATTAACAAGCCTAATTTGTGCATCCAAAAGAAGTTGGTTGGTTCAGACATTATCCTTACCCACTTGGCCATCTAGGTTTGAATGATCGATCCTGAAATTTTGTGGAATTTTCTTATTTTAGTTGATATTCTATTTGCTACTACATCTATATTATTATTATTGGTTAAGTAAAGCACAAATAAAAAATCTATTCGCAGCGATCTATTCGCCGCTGTTGTTCTTATATCATAATATAGTCTCTAGTTTAGATAGAGGAGCCAAATATGTTCGGTGGGCCTTCCTTGATTACACATCTGCATTTGACTCTGTACCTAGGTCTCTCTTGCTAAGTAAGCCTGCTGCAATATAGACTGAGAGCTGGACAAATAAGTGGTTGCATTCCTATTTTTCTGATTGGAAGCAGTACACCGTCCACAATGGAAAGTCCTCCACTACCTCACTTACTTTAGCTGGTGTTCCTTAAGGTGCTGTTCTTTCTCCTTTTCTGTTTTCTTTTTTCTTACATGACTTGCCCCATTCTGATGTAGCCACTTTTGTCAAGTATGCTGATGACCTCTCTGTCTCCATGCCTGTCAACTCTCAATCAGACTGTTCCAAATTAAATAACTTTCTCTCGGAAATTAGTCAGTGGTTCCCTTCAAACGGTCTTAAGCTGAATCCGTCAAAATGTCAGGTAGTAAATTTCACTTTCAGACGAAAACGTGACCTACAACAACTAGGTAGCTCACAGGGTCCCAATATCATTGACGGCATAGAGGTTGAAGTTACATCTAATGACAAAATCCTTGGACTGAGTATTTCCTCTGATCTTTCCTGGTCCTCTCATATCTCGCTAGTTCCTTGAAAGATGTTTCACTTGACGTTCTACGTTAGGAAGTTAAGGCAGTCTGGTATAAAGCAGTCTTTGCTTTCTCAGTTTGTCAATTCCTGTATTCTACCCATCCCTCTTTACTGCTCCCCATTAATCTTTCCTGGACTACTTAAAAAAGACTTTGCTTCGCTGCATAGGGCACTAAAAGCTGTTAGTAGGGGAAGTGGGATTTCGTTAAACCAATTGGTTAACACCATTGTGGATAGACATATAATGTCATGTAAGAAACTAGCGAATACTATATTGTCAGACCCCGAGCATCCTCTCTATACGCTTCTCTCTCCTTGCATTTCATCTGATAGAACTAGAAGCAGTTATAGAAGGCTATATTCTACGACTAACAAGTAGCAAAACTCCACAATACCCTATCTGGCACAGTTGTTATTATGTGATGAGAAATCCGTTAGGTATGACACGATCAACTTACTGCGGCACTCTAATAAATAGTTCCCATTAGTTTTTGTTTTCCTTTCTGTGTTACTATTATATTGTTGCTCATATATTCTATTACACACTAATTTTATATTTCACATCCTGTGGTGCATTGTTTAAAATGTGAATGCAATGCTGTTCTTTTTTATTTCTTTTATTTACCTTTTTATGTTTTTGCTGTTGTTGCTTTTTATTTTTTAAATCTTGTAAAATCTATGAGGTAATTAGATGCAATATTGTAATGCACGATGACAATTCCATATCTGTACCACAAATACTGTTTGAAATAAAGCTGTTATCATTATTATATTCCATCTCAATCATCTTGTGGATACACAACACAAGACTGATTGATGTTAACAAGGTGGCTTTCAGGGTCATTAAGTGCATACCACCAACAAATCTCAATTTCGCTTTAAGAGTTCGACTACTACATATTGATGAGGCTGGCTGGCAGTAGAGATGCACATGAACAAGCCTAATTTGTGCATTCAAAAGAGGAAGTTAGTTCAGACATTATCCTTATAAGCTGGGCCATCTGGGTTTGAATGATCGATCCTGAATTTCTGTAAAATTTTACTAATTTGCTATTATATCTTTATTATTATTATTATTATTGTAATTTAAGCATCTTTAATGAACTGTGGTGATTCCATTGTGATCTTACTTTACAAATCGATATTACTATTTAAAAAGCACACACTGATATTGTTATTGACCACCACTAATCTAGAATATTCTATGTATATAAACAGACATGCATATATAGATGTATAATTGTAGAGCGAGAAGAGGAGGAGGAACTTCTTATCGAAAAGGGGGATATTCTTTGCTGGCTCAATTATGCATTTTGTGTTTTTCATAGATAGAAGATGTCTGAATGAATATTTTTTCTTTGCTATAAATACTGAAAATTGTACACAGTTGAGAAATCAGTTAGCTGCTCAATTGAAATGTATAATCAAATCTGTTTTATTCTCAAAAAGGTAAATAAATAAATGAAAATAAAAATAAAAAAGGGAGAATAAGAATTGATCTGTTTGTGTTTGGTTGTCAAGCCTGAAGAGGAAGTGAACATGGAAACAGCAAGAAGAGGGAGAGAAAGAGAGAGAGAGAGAACAGGGAATCACCAGAACAAAGTGAACTGATCAAGAGAGATGAGATGGGGGCGGGGATTATGCGGAATGGGTTTCTGAGATCACGTTCATTAATAATAATAATAATAATAATAATAATAATAATAATAATAAAGATTTCGTTGATTATATCAGAAATGTGTAATTATGTTAATTAACAAGAGTAGGGGAGGGGAAGCGTAATAACAATAGTAATAATAATAATAATCACCAAATGGACTCATCACCCCAGACAACGTGTTTATACTTGGCTTTCAATGCACGCTCCAGATCACTTGCTTGTACAAAATCACGAGTTTCACAGATACACTTCACTTGAACTTCAAATACACTCGACTTCAACCATGTACGATCTTGACTGATATCTTTAATGCTGAAAAGGAAATAATCGTAAGAGTAGGGGGAGAGGGGGAGGCGGGAAACTCATTAAATGTTTATCAAATAGTATGGTCAAAGAAACATATATATTAGCTATATAGTATTGTAACAACAGAAGGCAACAAGGGCCAGTCAACAGATTGTTTATTTAGGAAATCAACAGAAATTTATCGATTTTCATGAACATACGTTATTATCGATTATTGTTAGCAGACAAACACAGTCTTCTCATTGGTTGTTTCTCTTTGTGACTGTTTCTTCAAGGTCAGATCATCTGTCTATCTGCTAATTGTATCCGCCTACGCAAACATAGTGTGTTGTGATTGGTTGTTGGTTGAGTCAGCCAGTCTCTGTTTTTTTCTTGTTTTCTCATGACCAATAATATTTGAAACATAATGCAATGTTTCCCTGATATCGCACATTAAACTGGAACGACTAACTAATTAGCTTTACTACAAATATATACAGGAGAAAACAAAGCTTGTTCACTTCAAGAAATACCGTTAGGATTCGGTTCTTCTGATACTTCGTTTAATTGCTTTTTTTCTTTTTTCTTTGTCCCTTCACGTTCCGAGTACAGTATGGGGCTTTAAGCTTGAGTCTGAAGTTTTACTAGCCGAGACTGTATGGACTGCCTAAAGTGCACAAGGAGAATGTCCCACTACGACCTGTAATAGACATGGTTAACTCACCATATCATCAAATCGCGAACAAGGGCTAGCTGATAGATTTCCTTGAAACAGTAAAATGGCATATGACAAAATATAGCCTCAGAGATGATACATTTGACTTCATCGACTCAGTGAAGAATGTCAACGTGTTTGAAAGACAAATGCCCTCACTAGATTTCGCCTCTCTATTCACAAGCATGCCCCCTCTGACCGGAACAATATGCTTCATTTGTAATTATATCGAAACTAACAGCAACATAGAAGTTCCTCTTCACATAAACTACCTGAAGGAATTTCTTCTGAGATGTGCGTTCAATATCCAGTTCAAATTTAATGAACAGTTTTATGTAGAGAAAGATGGGGTAGCCATGGGGTCTCGCTCCTCTTGGTCCACTCGTAGCCGACTGCTTCATGGTGAGTCTCGAAGACAACATCCTCGATCAGTTGATAAGTCAACTGCACTCATACAGGAGATACGTGGGTGATACGTTCATAATCTGTGATGAAAAATCCAATTTAGATTCTCTCCTCGAAACCTTCAATGCAGCACACCCATCAATAAGATTCGCCTTAGAACGCGAATCGAACAACGCATTTCCATTCCTCGATGTACTCTACTCACCAGAAGACACGACTGTGCGATCCAAAGATCGATACATATAGCAAGCCAACATGGACTGGACAGTTTATCAACTTCCAGAGCTTTGTCCCACTGATCCGAAAGGGAAACCTGGTACGTACATTATGTTCAAGGATTAGAAAAATCTGCTCGGAAGACATGGTAGAGAGAGAGAATTAAATTTATTACGTGAAAGCCTACTAGAGAACGGGTATCCACCAAGATTTATCGACAAAAACCTGAAGGAGAAGCCTCCGGTGTCAAACATCGCAACAATTCCTAAGAGGACTCTTTTCATGAACCCTAGAATTCAAAGGTGACATCTCAGCAGCAGAAATCCACAGAAACTGCCTTTCTAAATGTCTGAAGAAGACATTTCCAGCAGCCACCTTGACGTATCACATTCTCCTACAGACAGTTAATTCAATCTAACGATTAGGATAAGGTAGCGCTTTTGGCCACTTCAATGTGTGTGTATTTATATCAATTTACTTGCTCGTGTGGAGCAAAGTGTATGTCGGTCGTACGTTGCAACGTCAAGTCCACAAACGTATTCTGCAACAGTGTCCAGCTTGGTTAGCCAGCTAGCCAGAAGAGGAAAGAAGGACAGCAGCAGCAGCAGAAGCTCTTTCCTCGAACACCTACCTTGTCATCTCCGGACATCGAGCACTAGCACATTCAATGTTAATCAAATAGTGTGGTCAAAGAAACATATATTAGCTATATATTAGTATGAAGGGGCAACCAAATATCGGGCCAGCCTCGAAAACAATCCCTTTTCATCAACTATCGACGACCTTCATCTCTACAAGAGATACATTGATGATACTTTCATCATTTGTGATGAGAAGCTGGACCTTGAAAACTTACTTCAAATCTTCAACAGCGCCCACCCAGACATCGACTTTACACTTGAGACCGAATCCGAAGGAATGTTCCACTTCCTGGACGTCCATCTGACAAGAACCGATAACAACTCTTTGAAAAGGTCCATATACAAAAAGCCTACACGGACCGGACAATTCATCAACTTCCAAAGCTTCGTACCGCTAAGCAGAAAGAGCAAAATCATAAACGCTCTTTCCTTGAGGAATCGGAAGATATGCAGCGAGGAAGTGATCGAAGAAGAACTGCGTAATCTCCGAAAAACCCTGATGGAAAACGGTTTCCCGCCCAGGTTCATAGACAAGAATCTCAAACCTAAGAAGACTTCTGAAGAAGTCCAATCCGTCCCAAAGAAGATACTTCTGCTTAATCTAGAATTCAAAGGTGATATTGAAGCAGAAATCTTTCACAAACGCCTCTCCAAATCGCTGAGGAAAACATACTTCGCCGCTAGCCTACGACTGACGTTTTCCTGCAAGAAACTGTTCATCAGCCAGAACACGAAAGACAAGCTGTTGGATCTGGCCACTTCAACGTGCATATACCAGTTTACTTGCTCTTGTGGAGCTGAGTAAATCGGCCGTACAACGCGCCAACTTGGAAAACGCGCTCGCGAACACTACCCAGCCTGGCTAGTAAAATGAAAACCGAAAAAGTGTATATAGTTCAGTGACAGAACATCTAGTCAATTAAGGACATTCAGCACCATTCGAAAAATCCTTCAAAGTAATATACAAGATTCTATCAAACCTATCAAAGGGAGTAAAATTAAGACATCTGGGCACAGCCGAGGCACTAGCCATCCAAAAGCTCAAACCCACGCTATGTATCCAAAAGAAATACGTTTAACCCTTGTCCCTGCCGTGACCATCATAAACAGGTAATTCTTCTAATATTGACTATCCCATTGACTTTCTTATCCAAACTTCCTGTTTATTCATGTTATTTTTAGTTTTTCTTAATTGCTCTACTATTTACACTACCATATTTTCATATCCAAACATCCTGTTTATTTTGTCATTTTACTGTTTCTACATATTTAATCTCTGATTGCATAAACACTTATTCATCACTTAGTAGCAAGCTTCTTACGCCAAACATCCTATCTTTCTTCTTCAGCTAACTGAAAGCTAAATGAGGTAGGTCTAGGAGTGATGAGTCGACTGGAGTCCAGTCGAATCCCGGACCACATAGCTGGTTGCCAAGCATTCTAATGCTGCACACCCGACTCAAGTTAGTTTGATCTATATCAGCTAACTCAACTCGCCAGTGTGAAAGGAAAACAACTGCCCGGATATATGCTAGACGGCCTAAGGTATGACAAAAAGGAGGCGTAAATAATAAGTTAATCACGTGATGTTTGTCTCTTGTCTAAAAAACGGCTTACTAAAATAAGCATATAAATATTATCAAAATGTATGCATATATTGATCGCTTGATCGATTGATTGATTTTTGTTTAAAATGAACTGTCTGTGCAAGTATGTTGAAAATTTCATTTTGTAGATATATTTAATAATGTTTTTGGCCTGCAAGCAGCTGAGCTGACGAGAAGGCAACAAATAAGCCATGATGATGGTACCACTCGGTTTATTCTGCACAAAAACCGCTGTAATTCTTGCTTTGTTGAAATTACAAGTCAGTGTTTACACATAGGAACACTTGGGAAGTACACGTGAAAGATCCAGGGATTGGATTGGATTGGATATCTATTCACAATCTGCTTGTTTTTATTCAGATCTCCTTTAAACTCTGTCTGTCTGTTTTCAAAATACAACTTTGCACCGATGTGCACCAGTTGAATTCGCCACACTCTCTCCATGTAGCATACAGAGGAAGAGTAGAAAGTCAAAGAAATGCATAATAGGAAGACAGTAAACAGAGGTGTGGTGGGACAAAAGGAATAGTAATAACGAAGAACAATATAGTTTCATTGGAAATCATAAGTCACAAGGAGTGAATGCATCTGCAGTAGCCATTGAGAAGGATTTTGAGCCGGCCATATCACCAATTGTTTCCAGCCTTCATTGGTTTTTACCGCCATCCTGAGGACCCCAACCAGTTAGGAAGTCTACACCTTCCTACGTGGCTTAAACTAACTGTTGTAGATTTCATTGACTGGTGAAGCCATGTTTTCGTTTGACCGCCACTAGCTAACTCTTTACCAGCCTGACCAATCCTATGTCAGCCAGTTAACATTGCCCATTGTCGAGGAAGGCGATGACTAGGCATTCATTCGTAACACATGTCCTAACCATCTCAGTTGATGTATTTTCACAGCCTCGTTGATTGATTTCCCCTCTCACCTACCTAGCACTCGATCGAAGCCTAACCTCAGTATTGCCCACCTTATTATACCACTTCACACGGGAGACAGAACTAACGCAGGCACCTATGATCGAAGAAAGCTAATCAGCCTTTTCATATCTTCCACTCTCAATGGCCAGATCTCGCTCACAGCCAGCCATAAATGAGGACGGAGCGGACTGCTGGCTGAGCAGTACACCCGCCATTTGGTCGATAGCCAGTCGGATATCACGTCCTAGAAGCTCAACCTGACAACGGGAAAGTGAAGCACATTGTAAAGAGCAATCAGCATTTGGTGCAAGACACACATGAATAGCTGTTACATTTATAACGCAAGAAACAAAAGTTTCCGTGTGAGGCATTCGACTGACTGGTGTGGTGTACCTGCTGTGTGTTTAACTTTCTACCAATGAGGCACTGACAAATTGATTTAACTGTCCTTAATTTTTTCATATATCGATTTGACAAGTAAATGTGTGGGGGATCAAACTGTTCGAAATGTATATCAGAAAAT